AAAATACTTGATATGGCAGAGTGCGGCAGAGTATGTATAGGGATTCTTAACCAGGAGTGCATAGATGAGCTTCACAGGTCTGTGAACCCCTAAACTTAATGCACATATATATCTAAGGATCATGTTTGGCCAGAAGGAAACATTAATTTGGTTAGATGTGACTTCTAAAAATATTTTTGTTTTTTATTGTTGTTGTTTTGGTACTGGGGATCCAACTCGGGACCCTGTGCTTGCCAAGCAGGCAGCGGCACCACTGAGCTAAATCCCCAGCCCTCTAAAAATATTTTTAAAGTACTTATAGGAGCAGAAGAGTTTGTGTATTTAGGGAATGATGCTGCTCTGGATTATAATGGCAGCTTATTTCATATGTGCCTATTAGGACTAGGAACCAAAAGATTATGATCAGTGAAGAGTTCAAATGCACTGGCCACATGTGCTATGTGCTAGATACTGTTATATGTATGGTAACAGTGCATGGTGCATTACTTCATCCTTACAGCACTTGGACAGAGAAGTCTTATAGCAGTCCTCATTTTGAAGGTCAGGAAACCAAGGCACAGAAAGGATAGTTGACTTGCTCAGAGTCACAAGTGTAGTAACCAGCAGAACCAAGTCCCAAATCCAATCTAATATCAAAATTGGTGTTATCACTATTCTTTACTACTCAGAACATACTTTGAGAAACATTAAACACCTCACAGATAGGTCAGTACCTTTTCCTTTCCTAAAATGTAAGCAGAGTTCAGTTGTGTGGCAATATCTGATCAGGAAATAGTGTGGTCTTCAGGTGGGAGCACGTTTATAATTTTGAAATGTCTTTCAACTGGCAATAATGATTTGTATAAGAGAAAACATACAAAGTTTATGTATTGTGCACTTTTAGTTTATAAAGATAAAATTGTTTTATTTCTGAGAGAAAAAAAGTACTTAGTACTGGTATGATGTACCCAGACCCCATTTTATGAAAAGGAAAACTTTTATCACTGCTATTTTAAGAGAATATTGATCTTCTTTTGGTTTAAGGAATGAAAATACATAATAAGGGGTCATGTGGTTTAAAGAAAGGACAATAATGGTACCCTAAGTGGGATATTTTAGCTACTCAAATTTTAAATAGGTTTTTCTTTCAAGGCTAATTATTTTACCCTCTTGCATGTATGAGTTGTCTCTTCTGTTTAGTGATCACAAAACAAATATTTAGCTGGATGTGGTGGTAAATGCCTGTGATCCCAGCTGTTCAGGGGGCTAAGGCAAGGTAGCAGGTTTGAGGCCAGCAGCCCAGGCAACTTGGCAAAACCTTGTATCAAGAAGAATAAAGAAAAAAAATGTAAATAAACTAAATTAAAAGGAGATTGTCATTTGGTAGCAAGCCACTTGTGAAAGACTTCTTTTATATGGATGTCTTTGTTCTGTTTCCTGTTTTTCTTAAAACAAAATAATTATAGCCATCTCACATTACCACAATTTGGAGAAAATTTGTAGCTTTGCAGCTGAACTGTGTAGTATATACATACAGGTGTACCTTTAAATCCTGTGGCAGGAGTATTAAATAGAAATATCTCTGTATGTGAAACAGGGAAATAGTTTTAAATAGAGAACTTTAAGATCTAATTATTAAAATACAGGATTATGCTAGGATAATTTGACAAGTCACATGAATTGTTGCCATAGTGTAAACTTGTAAAGCAATTGTAAGAAAGTCGGAACTTGCTTAGGAGTAGTTATTGTTGAGCAACCTCCCATAACTACCCCTTTCTCCATTCCCTATTTTGGGCTACAAAAATCAGGAAGATTGCTCTTAGATGAGAAAAAAAGTTTTAAAAAAGGACTGTTTACAATTAAGAACTATTTATTTCAGGAAAGTAAAGCAGGTACTCTGGTCAAAGTACAAAGCCTGATCCATCACTAGCAAACAGTCTTAAGAGCCAGTGAGCATTTTAATTTGTTGACAGCATAGATTTCTTGAGATTTACTTAATAACCACCAGTGTTCCAAGCCTTAACCTCTCGTTAGGCAAGACTTTTAAACTAGCATTTATTTCATTTTGGCATTCTATTTGAGGTGAGGTATGGCAGCAGTTTAAAGAATATGTGTGAATGTCTATGTATGTGTTTGAGAACAGAGTCATTTTGAAATAACAGTGATTAAGATACAATTGAGTAACCCACATTTGAATTTGGCTGGGATCCATGAGGGATGATTGTTTTTCCTGCACTCCTACTAAGAGCTTTTCAGCAGAGTGCAGGTGCTCTTGCCCTTCCAAAGGAGCACACTCCCATGACAGAGGAAAAAAAGGAACAATATCTTCCTGAATGTTTTCATAGTGTTTTCAATAAAGACTACTGAGGTAAGAAGTTCAGCACTTTACATAGATAGTAAACTATGCGTATCATTTTATTTGTAATCCCGTGTGTTAAGGGACACTGTTAAAAGTAACAATCACTTTAAAAGCAACAACCAACAAACCAGTATTTAATTTGGTATTTAAGATAATTAAAAATCAAACGGAAGCAGTCTCTAACTAAGATAATTCATGACAAATACCATTAATTCAAGCTTACTTACTGGAAATATTTTTCAACATGGCTAACCTAAAACGTACTTATAGAGATAAAATAAGGGTGTAAATTAGCAAAGTATTAAATAAGATTTTAAGGAGTCCCTAAAATCATTTTTAAGAACTTTAGAACTAATTCACTGTATGCAAAAACAGATTAACTACAAATCTCTTTTAAGTTCTTTCATACATGACCTTATTAGAAGCAATATATATTTGCATTTACTAGCAAAATTCATGGCAATAAAGTATTTTTGAAGTGTATTTTATTTCCCAAATAGTTTACTAGTTTGAAAGAGT